GACAAAAAAAAAAAAAAAATGGGTCCCAGATTTTTTACGCATTCTTTAAGTTAGCGGATTCTATGTATCTTGATTCAAAAATGGGCTAATCTGAGCGTACAAACAGATAGACAAACACAATGAGAATTTTGATAGTATATAGATAAGGTTAATTAATATGGATCAGTCCTCATACATCCTTTTTAAAAAACTCTAAATCAGAGGTTTACATTCATTTCTCTATTGCATGATGATGCTTTCTTTTTTTAGTGATCTATAGGAGCTCCTATGTGAATGGTAGATTGGTTTAAGCAAGTACAGGTGGTCCTCATTTAACAACCACTCATTCAGCAACCATTCAAACTTGTGATGGCACTGAATGTGTGGTAGTTATGACCAATCCTCAAAGTTCCAGCTGATGCAGAGCCCCAAGGTGATGTGATCGTGATTGTGATCCAGGTGCTTGGCAACTGGCCTGGATTTCCAACCATTGCAGTGTCCTGCAGTCACATGACCATGACTTGTAAACTTCCCTGCCAGCTTCTCAAAAGCAAAGTCAATGGGGAAGCTGGCAGGAAGCTGGAAGTCACGATCATGTGAGATCCTCGCTTAATGATGGTAACCGGGGACTGCTGGAACTGCCATTGCTAAGCAGCATGGTCATATGACATTGCACTTTACAACTGCATTGCTTAGTGATGGAAATTCCAGTCCCAATTACCATTGTTAACCAAGGACTACCTATAGAGCATAATGAGTAAAGCTTCCCAATCTCTGTTGCTGATAACCTTTTTCTCTTTCTGAACATTTTTTTTTCTTACATCCCTTTGTCCTCTCATTCTCTGGTTGCTAGAGGACTGAAGTAATTAATCACAGAGCACTATTACATTAAGACATAGGCTACATGTGTTTGTAAGGTCACAGGTTGCTCACTCTTACTGTAAATAAAATCAAATCCTTTGCCGTATTTCCACCAGTCATTTCTTGAGTTCCTTCTGCATAATTTCCAGCTCTACAATGTCTTTTATGATATAACCTGATTAAAACTGCACATAGTAGCACAGTTTTATATAAGGGCTTTGTATAAAAATGATAACTTTTTTCTGACCTCTCCATATCTGAGTCTTCTGTTGCATACTGAAAAATTCAAGGGTTGGAGATCACGATAGGGATATAATCAGGGGTTAAAAGCTGCCAGCACCAGGAGCAATGCCATCAGGAAGAGGGAAGCATAACTTATACAAGTGTAAAGGTTACATAGATATATTGCTATCATGATAAACCATGATTTTTCATACCATCTAACATAGCTAGTAACTAACTTCATGGCTAAACAAAGATTTATATATATGTCCTCCCTATAAAGACAGTTGTATGAGGATATACTGTCAAACATCCATATGAACCAACTGAAATTATTTCAGCAACTGCATACAGTGTACTCTCTATCGGTGCACTACATTTTCTACTTATACATGCTAGCCACTTGAAAAATTGAACTACTTTCAGTAAAATCAAATGTTTTCTGACATGCAATCACCCAACTATAATAATCTCTCTCTTCATACTGACTCTTCAGATTTTCTCTGAACTCTTTTGAGATTTGAGGTCTACAGTTCTCATATTATAATTTAATACACATATTTACAGTAACAAGCATACACTGCAATTTTGTTTTACTATTTGTAAAACATATAGTATTTATTTAAAATAAACATTATTTTTAAAAAAAACAAACTTTTGGAAGTTCAACCAAAAAAAAATAGGTTATTATTTCTTCATGAATTGTGTGGAAATGAAATTAAAGGGCTTTTCCCATGAGCAGAAAAGCATCCTTCAAACCTGTGGAAGGAAAGCCCTACAGTGGCCAGCGTGAACTGAAGAGCATTGCACCACACCTGGGTTCCAATTATAAAAGGAAAAGCTGAGAGCACCAGAGTGTGAGTATGTAGGTGTATTTGGAGGAAGATTTGTGTTGTGTGGGAGATCAGAAAGGAAGAATTTGCAGCTGGGGGAGCAGAGCAGCCATCAGCTCAAAAGGCAACTGATGGTAAAGAAGGAGCAAGCCTGGACTTCACAAAACCAGCAGCAGACAAGCTGAAAGGAGAAGTAGAGCCCAGTAGCTTCACTACTCCAGCAGAAATGCTGAGAAGCTACAGCCAGCCAGCTGCTGGTAAAGCACCTTCCTTTTCTCCCCCCAGCACAGACTGAGAAACTGTCAACCCAACCCCTCAGCAGCAATTTAGAACAGCAGCTGACAGCAACAGAAGCCAATTTGAAGATGGCTAAATGGTAGCTAGAGACTTTGGTGTAAGCTGAAGCAACAAAAGGCAACAGAATTGTTATAGACTGTTTAGGAGTAAGATATAGACATAGATGTTAGTATAAGTATAGGATAATGTAGCATAGGCTTTGTAATAAGTATTAAGGTAGAAGTTAGGAAAATAAATAAGTTTGTTAAATTTTATATAATAAAAGCCTCTCTGTTGCTGGTCTGTACTATTTCCCAAAAGAACCTGCTCACAGATCCAAACTGATATACACTGTGGCTGATTAGTAATGGGCAGAACTAGTAGCTGGCCTGTACAATCTGCTAATCTACATTCAGGAACAAATCAAGCATCATTAAACTTGGATTCACATATTTCACACAGTATCATCTGGTCTCTGGCTGCTTTCTGGTGCTATTTATACAGCAGTGTTCAATTCTAGCTTGAAAATAAGACAACCAGATACCAGGCAAATCCATTTATACTGTCCCCACATTTTCAGATTTCTTATTTTTGGCTTGATTTGAGCATTTTTCCTACACAATGGCTTATGTGTTTGAACAGTTACTGTGATCATTTAAAACAATGCTTCAAGCATTTTGAGGGCCAGACAAAAGTACCTGTGTTTTTAATTTGTAACTGATATTGGCATATATTAAAATATACTGTAATTTAATTCTGCATTCTTTTAATTTTAATTTGATCATCTTTTTTTTTTAAATCTGCCCATTTATTATAGCACTGTTAAATTAGTGCAAAGTGACTGTGAAACTGTATTGCCTGGCCTCATCAGTCACAAACAGCAATGCAAAATGCAGAATAGAGAATGGGACCCAGAAAGATTTATAAGAGCTGTTGCTCTTAATATTTAGCCCACAAATATGCATTTACCTAAGATATAAGCAGGGAACAAAACTCACCCAGAACAAGTAGCTCCACTGACTCCTCATTCTTGCCCTCTACGTCATCAGGTGTAATGACAAGGCAGTAATACAATCCACTGTCTCCCCACATCAATTTTCCAATCCGGAGGTCTGCATCTAACAGATAATATAAGCCAAGCAGGAATCAGAAACAAAGAAGAGGGACAGTTAAAATCTAGGTTCCTATTACTAGGTTTTATTGACAAAAATTGATTTTTCTTATCTGGAGTGGTGAAATTTAATTCATTAAAAATACTGCAGGAAAAGTCAAGGATACTTCAGAGAATAATGGAATTAGTTTCCTGAACTTGGGACTGTCACACAAGTTTTTAAATTATTTTGCTACAACTAAAGGATTTCCTTTGTTATAATGCATCAAGAAATATATGAACAGCTTGTGATAACAGTATAAAAAGAAAGTATAGCCTTTTTTCCAAATGGTATGAGGGTCAGATCAAAGCTGGAAAAAGACTACAGGGAAAAATAAGAAAAGGTAATTTTTGCAGCAAAAGTTTGGATTAGACTAACTAGACGTGATGCTTTTCAACACTGTAAAAAATAAAAATCCTTTATTCGCAAGTGATACCAGGCTACATCCAGTGGAAGTGTGTAAAATATTACAAGACTGGAATTTTCCAACCCTGAAATCTCCCATTCCAATCATTTCACAGTCAGAACAGCCTGTTTCAGGGTGGATCACTTCTGGTAAGATTGGAACAGCCTGTTCCAATATACAGTAGCAATACTTTGCTGAGGTTGGAATGAAACATTTGTGGGGGGTGGGGATGGCGCAGGGCAAGGACATTTCAACTTTTAGCATACATAGTGTTGTGCTAACAACTACACTACAGAATAAGAGCATACTACTATTCGATCAGGAAACAAGTGACTCAATTTAAGACATTTTATAAACCTAGGAAAGGACAATTATTGGCAACAATACTATCTCCCTCAGAAAGCATTCAAAACCTGAGCAGTACACAGACAAGCTCATTTCTTTCAGTATGCATAATGAAATCCTACACTGAAGGATCTCCCCTGAAAATGTTAATGCAAGGGAGGATAGAATGAAGGGAAGTATGTTTTCAGGTATTTCAGTTCCAAGCCATTTAGAGGTTTAAAGGAGAAAATCAGCATAATGAATTGGGTTCAGTAACAAAAAGAAAGCCAATGAAATCTTTAAAAATTGTAAGACATGGTTCCATCTAGGTAAATTACACAAAACTCTAGTGGCTGAATTCTGCATGAACTGATGTTTTAAACCACTTCCAAGAATGGTTCCACATGTAATTTGCTTCTGATACCCAATATGCAAGTTAGTAAAGGATGACTATGGCAAAGTTATCCTTACCCAGGAAAGGCTAAAGATGTTAACATGTATTTTAAGCAACATAATCTCTTATGATAAAGAACCCTCAAACTGCTCACTAGCTTATTCAGGGCAAACTAAACTTTGATTTCTCAGTCCAATGAATTTATAGTGCCTCTATCCTATCATAATTCAATTTCAGGTTATTCATCTCCATTCATTCCATAACTGATGCAATATGACTTGATTCTTTTTTATAAAACAGATTCAAGAAAAGTCTGCAAGTGTATTGGTTATTTGGGATTTATTTATTTATTTATTTATATTTCAAATTTGTTACCACCCATCTCACTGTGGCGTGACTCTGGGTGGTTTACAGTAAAAACAGAATAAAAATTAATTAAAATAGACAATTAATTAATTAATTAATTAATTATGCTAAAAACAAACTTCCTTTAAATGTCTTTAAAGTGTACTGTATATACATGGTCATTTTACACTTCATGGATAAAGATCAAAAAGTTAAACAAGAAAATATTTAAAAAGTTAAAGAACTTTTGAACACAAATGCAAGACAGTCTATACCATATTTATGTAAAGTTTTGATGAATGCTATACAGGAAATTAATTCCCCTTAAGTACTTGAAACAAGAAGCAAACCTATTGGGAATAAAGTTAGTGAGTATAAAGTTGCAACAACGTAACATTATCTCTACTATTAATATCTTTTTTCATTTTATAATGTTCTTAAGAATTTTTTACTTTTAATTATTGTTTCTACATCTCTTATAATATACCTATATTGCCATCACTTATATCTGCCCTGTTCATTTTAATGATTTTTAAATTTGTAGATACTTTTAAATGTAAACCTTATAGGGTATATGAAGAGTGTTATGAAATATTTATAATAAACTATAATTAAAATTGTATACTAAACTCCAAAAAGAAAATATAATTTCTATTATATATGCTACCATTCATAATAGCCAAAGAAGAGCTTCAGTCATAATAAACTTATAAGCAGATTGAATTACCATGGAGAATGGAGATTTCTCTTCCTTTGTAGAACTCTCCAGTCGTGACCACCGACCCCTGTTTGGATGCCACAATGCGGACTGTTCTCCTACTATCCACACAGTCCAAGTAGGGATCCCATTCCAAGTTCCTCTTGTTTATTGCCTGGATCCCTGCAGAAACAACTCCCAGAGCTTCTCCCATGCGGTCTTGGCAATAGGATTTGAACTTCCATTGCACCACAGCTGGTTGCGTGGAAGAAGTTGAAAAGTGGCATCGAAGCACAACTGGTTGAAAGAGCATGGCTACCTGTTTCTTCTCAGGCACCTTGACATGCACCGCTTCAGTCACAGCTACAAGGCAAAACCACGAATGTTACCAACTTGTAAGGTGTAAATCATCTATTCAGTATGCCCATTGTTGTTGTTGTTTAGTCGTTAAGTCGTGTCCGACTCTTCGTGACCCCATGAACCATAT